TCGTTGGCGGTGTGCGGTTTGGCGCAGTTAGCGCAAGTGGGTTTGTGGTCGCGCGGCCGGTCGCAGTCGGCGGCCGCGTGTTCACCGGCGCACCGGACACATTTTATTGGTCGGTGACAATTGGCCGACGAATGGCCGAATCCCTGGCACCTGTGGCATTGAGCCAGGGAGGAAGTTGAGGGCCGCCAGCCCTCGATTGTAATACCACGCATGAATAAAAGTTCATGCGTGGCGTATAGACGGTCCAGCTCGTCCTTGCTCAAGGGATCGAGCTGGGCGTGGAAGACGCAGCCTGGGCGGCCGCGGCGAGCTGGGATACCCCGCACCAGTCTGACGGGGTAGCCCAGTTTGTCTAGGGCGTCGGCGACGGCGTCCGACGGCGTGTCGGACGGGAGCCCTCTTATCGCCACTTTGTGGGGCAATTCGGAGGCCAGGCTGTAACAGAACCAGCTGATCGCTGGGTCGGTAGCACTGGCCTCAGATAAATACTTTTGAACAAGACGGAACTCTTTGTCCGTCTTGCTAAGAAAACGCACGCCCTGTCCGAACGGGCGCGCGTTGGGCGGCTCACCCAGAGCGTGAGTGAGGGCGGCGAAGTGTTGTGTCCACCGCGGCAGACATTCGACTACGATGGGTGGGTATTTACCCTGCCCAGGCTGTCTTTTTGCCGCTCCCGACGATGTAGGTGCGGGAGGGGTTGGGGGCGCGGCGCAGGAGCGGCCGCGGCCGCATCCGCGAACGATTTGGTGGGGGATAATGTCCCCACGGAACGAACCTGTACGTCGACACTTTCAAGTGCGACGTACGAAGTTTCGTCATCCCTGTTGGGATGCCCCAAGGCGCCGATGGCGTCAAAGTCCATGACGCGCTCGTCCTCGCTGTCCATAGAAGGGGCAGGCGAGGGCGAGCGGGGGGGTGTGGCGCGCCGTGAATGCGGGCGCGCCTCGCACGGCGCGTTCACCGAGCGAGACGCACGGTCCGCGTAGCGCGGTGTGGGAGCGAGACGGGGCGACGGTGGTGTCTCGCCGGCGTCTAACCGCTTCTCGGAAGGAATTTCCGAGAGAGCGGGGGATGGCGGTGTGCGGCGTTTAGCGGCCGTAGACGGCGTGGCGCCTGTACTGTCGCCGCTCGGTTCGGTGCGTTCTCCTTCCGCAGCAATAATGTTGCGGTTGGCGAGCGCAATCCTAGCCTCGCGGCGGGTGTAAAACGGTCCCAGCTCTGTCTCTGGGACCGGTCGGCTGATTGTCGGGTCCGCGAGGTCCCGACAAACCACCTGCCTCGGCACTGCTTGCCGCTGTGGCAGGGGCGCCGGCGCCCTGGGCGCCGACGCGGAAGAAGAGCGGGTCGGCCGCTTGGCCGACTCGAAAGGTTTGCGGGGGGGTTTTCCCCCGCGCTGAGACATGGTCCCTAAAACCCTAAGGCCCTACGTAGTAGCCCACGAAGGGCGAAGGGGTTGCTGAACCGACGCCGCCCAAGTGGGGACTCAGGCGGTGCCCTCAGTCTCGCCGTGGGTGCACTTGTTCTCCCCGTGAGACGACACCCTACGGTTTGAAAGTGGGGGGTGTGGGGGTTGGAACCCCACGAACGATCCCTACTATGCTGGAGGGGGGGGGTGGAGTCGACACGGCCGGGAAGACCGTGCTCTCGACCGTTACCGTGAGTGCACTTGTCCTCCCCGTGAGGCGACACTCTCCGGAACGGCCGAGAGGGGTGCGGGGGGACAGAACCCCCGCGACGACCTACGGTCCCTAGCCCTACGACTCGACCGTGCCCTGGCGTGTAGCACACGGGTGCCTACACTGGTGCACCCAGGTGCACGGACTATCTCCCCGTCGGCTTGTAGCCCTCAGAAGGGCTGACGGCCTCGAGTTCGTCCTGAAAAGGACGGTCCTACTCGGTGGCGGCGGTACGAAGACACGGAGCACGAAGCTCCGGGCACGTGTAGGAGGAATCCGACTGTACAATCTTACGATTGCACAGTTGATTCCTCGGCGGTGAGCTGTAGCGGCGGCTGTGGCGTCCCACGGCGCTCGGCGGCAGCTCTGGAGGGCTCTCGAAGGCGCAGGAGTCACGACGTGCTGGGGAAGACGCTACTCGGAGTCTCGACGGTCGCCCGGAGTACTCACGAGAAGGATCACGCACGAACACGACGGTCTCACTGCAGGCACGGGAGCTCTCTATGCTGCGTTTCAGTACATGGCGACCGATGAAACCTTCGGCAATACCGTATCGAGAACCCGTGTGCCGCTAGACGTTTTCTCGTATGAACACTTCCAAGTTTTCACTAGCCCGCGTCCGATTAATTGCGTCTAAAACGTCATATTCACAATATTCAGGTCTGGACGACCCGCCGGAGTGACCTGTCCGAGTTGATCTCCGCATCCGACGCACCGCCGAGGCGGTGAGGTTCGCGTGCGTCGCGCGAGAGCGGTATATTTTTGTCGTTGTGTATCGCGAGTACCTCGGGTCCACTTTAAAAGTTATTTTTCTTAATTGTACACGAGTTTTTGGCGTGTACGAGTCGACGTTACAAGTGTGAAGATACCGTTCTTCGAATCTGTAGCAATTATTCAAACGTCGCATCGCTAACGCGTCTATTTTGACCGTCTCAAGTGGAGGGTCGTAAAACTCGCGCGGTCGGCGGCAGACGTACGGTCGATCGTCCAACCGCACGCTTAAGAACATACATACGGCGTCTGTCCATTTGTTAGAATGCAACCTGCATTTGTGGTGGTTATAAATAATCTTTTTTTTTTTTTTTTTATTTATTTATTTTTTTTTTTTTAAAGTATACGATTGTCCAGTAATTAATTAATTTATATATATTGCACGAGCGAACGAGTAAGCAAGCAAGCAAGCAAGCAAGCAAGCAAACAAACAAACAAACAAACAAACAAGATAGCTAGCAAGCCAACCAACTAGCGAACAAGCAAGAAAGAAAAAAAAAAAAAAAAAATAAATATTAAAGCAAAACGAGTAGGGGAGGGGGAGGGAGCGGTCTTCGGTTCAAAGTTCGCACGCCGATCGTCAATAATAATTGTCTCGATCAACATCACAACAAAACAATAACAACACAATTCTTAGTTAAATTATATCTCAAGTATTATATAATATAATAATAACAATAATCTTTAGCTACGTCGCTATATGATCGGCGTCGGCGTCTCTCTCACTTAAGTGTCTACGGGAACTAACTCTCACTACTTGTGAATAAATACGCGTCACCAATAACGTGCGTTTATATATTTATTAATAATTAATTATTTATTTATATATTTATTTATTTAAAAAAAAAAAAAAAAAAAAAAAAAAAAAAAAACAGGCCTGTTAGCCCGCCTATCGAGTACGAGTAGTCTACCTGTCTGTGGGTACATTGCTAGCAATGACTAATGCGGAGTACGGTATACAACAACAACAACAATACCCTTCTCCAAATAAATAAATTAACAAACAAACACCCGAATAATTAAAAAAAAAAAGAGGAGAAAATTAGAAAATTATATATATATATATATATATATATATATATATATATATATATATATATATATATATATATATTTTTTTTTTTTTTTTTTTTTTCATTCATTCATCCATTAATTCGTTCGAACCCTCAGTTAGCTAGCCAAGCATGGTTAAGCAGAGTGTAAGTATGTATGTAAGTAAAGTATTCACCGTAAGAGCAAAGCAAAGCTTACTTAGGTGGTAGTGGTGGGTGTAGCTAGTTTAGTAAAACGTGCAAAACGATAATATCACGGTAGGGGTGAGCGAGTATTATACGCGCGTATAGTATATATTATTATGATTGTGATATTTTTTTTTTTTTTTTTTTTTTTTTTTATTTTATTAACCTATGGTCGTAAAAAAAAAAAAAAAAAAAAAACTTATATCCATTCCACCGGAAACTAATCGGTAATTTAGACAATTTTGCGGCCCTAAAAAGGGCCTTTTATTATTATAAATGATGACGACGGACGGTGATGATGATGATGATCAATATCGTCAACCACCTCCATCATCATCATCATTTAACCGCCGAAACCGTACAGAGTGCGGCCCTGGCGTTTCAGAGCGTAGACGACATCCATGGCGGTGACCGTCTTTCTCTTGGCGTGTTCCGTGTAGGTGACGGCATCACGGATGACGTTCTCAAGGAACACCTTCAGAACACCACGAGTTTCCTCGTAGATCAAACCAGAGATACGCTTGACACCACCACGGCGAGCAAGACGACGGATGGCGGGCTTCGTGATGCCCTGGATGTTATCGCGAAGCACCTTCCTGTGTCGCTTGGCGCCACCTTTTCCAAGACCTTTGCCTCCCTTGCCGCGACCGGTCATGTTCGCTATATATTATTATAGGATACACGATACGATACGAAACTGTACTAAAATGAACAGCGAACGCGTACAACGTCCGAAGCGAGCGAAACGGCAAAACTAACTACTTTGACAGAATGTAATCACGTTATATTTATACCCACGCCGCACGCCGGCGCGCGGCGGTCCCCCCCACCCGCGCGGCGATATTTTGACCCCCCCCCTTCCCGCCCGCTCCCCTCCAACCACCCCCCGCCCTCCGGCGCACACCCAGTGTTAAAACAAATAATCAAATAATAAAATAAAATAAAAAAAATAATAATAATAATAATAATAAATAAATAAATAAATAAATAAAAATATAATAAAATAAATAAAACTCAATATTGTCAACTGTGAAACGGGACTACCTTCTAACATACAGGACAGCCCCTCCATTATTTCCTCTATGATAAGATTGAAATACCAGACTTTTTTTTTTATAAATCTAAAAAATATAATATATATCCCTATATAAGTGTCCCTGTATGACGGATTCTAATATACTATATATTGTTATTATATTATGTTATTGTTACTATATATATATATATATATTAGTTTGTAATGTTTTACATGTTTTTTCATACATACATACATACATACACCCCACCGTTAGAAACATTCATATAGTAGAATCAAATTGCGGCCCTGAAAAGGGCCTTTTCATTATTATTATTAATTTGAAGAAAACTTAAGCACGTTCGCCTCTGATCCGGCGAGCGAGCTGGATGTCCTTGGGCATGATGGTGACTCGCTTGGCGTGGATGGCGCACAAGTTGGTGTCTTCGAAAAGACCCACCAAGTAAGCCTCGCTGGCCTCCTGAAGGGCCATCACGGCGGAACTCTGGAAACGCAAGTCGGTCTTGAAGTCCTGGGCGATTTCTCTGACCAGCCGCTGGAACGGCAACTTGCGGATCAGCAGCTCAGTGCTCTTCTGGTAGCGGCGGATCTCACGGAGGGCGACGGTGCCGGGCCTGTAACGATGCGGCTTCTTGACACCGCCGGTAGCCGGCGCGCTCTTGCGGGCAGCTTTCGTCGCCAACTGTTTCCTGGGCGCCTTGCCACCGGTCGATTTACGGGCGGTCTGCTTCGTACGTGCCATGATCGTCTCTACAAACCACAAACACAAACAAACAAACAAACAAAGGCAAATACACTACCGATCACGACGCGAGCGACGATGGCAGCGAGAATGGCAGAATGAATAAAAATTCTGCAGTCCGACTCCAGTCTTTATATATATATACGTGTAGAGAGACTGACGTTACGCGATTAGGGGGGGGGGGAAGTGAGAGTGAGATAGCGAGCGCGCGACCGCAAGCGAGAGCTAGCGAGCGAGGGCAGAAGTGTGTGCAAATGGGAGAGCAAGTGAGTGATGATTATTGTGCTACAAAAGAAGACTACTACTAACTACTACTACAACTATTACTTACCTAATTGTTAATCTATAATAATATTATTTTACTGAAGGAAAAAAAAAAAAAAAAAAAAAAAAAAACGTTGCCACCATCTGCCAACGTACAGAACATTATCTCCATTTTTTCTTAAAGAAAAATGATTGAAATCCCACTTTTTTGTTTTTTTAAACTAATAATACTACTACTATACGTGTACGTGTATGTTTATTCTATTTGCCTTGTATACCTTTTTGCCTGTACCTTTCCTGCACTCGATTAACCGCTAATTATTTTCTCTTTCAACACATCAAACTAATCGGTATATCTTTTGTTCAAGTGAAAATAAAGAATATATATTATATTATTATTTTCTCTTCAGTCGGACATATAGGTACATAATAATCGTGGATGTTTTAGCCTGTGACGTGATTATATATAATAAATATCACACACAGGTGTTACTATATATATATATATATATATATATATATATATATATATATATATATATATATATATATATATATATATATTGTGATATTCTTACCGGTATATTGGCTTATTAAATGTGTGTTGTTAGATAATATTCAAACAAATACATAGGGATAGACAGACCGTCCTAACTTGCGAGAGACTACAATAACACTGAACAACTCTGTGGCCCTGAAAAGGGCCTTTGTTTTGTTATTATTATATTTTGATAGAGAAAGAGAGCGATCGTTGCACGACGACTATAAACGAGACGAGGAGGCGGCGGTGGTGGCACTGGAGAAAGTGATGGTGATGGTGATGCTGATGGAGGTCGTCCTCGTCCACGTGCTCGTGCTCGTCGTCGCCGTCGGGGAGTAGAATCACCGCGGCGATCACCTCCTCACTTGGAGCTGGTGTACTTGGTGACCGCCTTGGTGCCTTCGCTCACTGCGTGCTTGGCGAGCTCACCGGGCAGCAGCAGTCTCACGGATGTCTGCACCTCCCTCGAGGTGATCGTGGACCTCTTGTTGTAATGGGCGAGACGGCTAGCCTCGCCGGCGATGCGCTCGAAAATGTCGTTGACGAAGCTGTTCATGATCGTCATGGCTTTGGAGGAGATGCCAGTGTCGGGGTGGACCTGCTTCAACACTTTGTAGATGTAAATGGCGTAGCTCTCCTTCCTCTTGCGCTTCTTCTTCTTGTCTCCCTTGGCGATGTTCTTCTGGGCCTTACCGGCCTTCTTCGCTGCCTTTCCGCTGGTCTTGGGCGGCATTATTATTTATATATTTAAAAAAACGGAAGAAGAAAAAAAAAAAAAATAAACAAATAACCGCAAAAGATATAAAAAATGCGCAAATAAACAAAACGAGAATCGAAAGTGACGCGTACCGTGCCGTACAGTAGAATCGACCGACGGACGAGTGGATACAAACACCAATGAACGATAATCCGAACACACTTACTTGATATATATAGACCGTGGTCGGCTCGAGGGCGCACCGGGTGTAACGCGCGCTACGACCAATAGCGGACCGTGCGCATCGCGCCGCCGCAATAGACTGCAAAACCCCCCCCCCCCCCCGCCTATTTAAAGAATAATAATAACAACAATAATAATAAATAAAAAAAAAAAAAAAAAAAAAAGTCAATATAGGTGATTCGTTGTGAAGGTAAATCATCATTGTGTGAAAAAAAAAAAAAAAAAAAAAAAAAAAAAAAAAATTATAATAATAATAATATCCACAAATTGTTATAATTAATAAGAAAAGATACGGTTCTAAGTATTAATATAATTGTATGTTTGTTTACCTGATATTGGCGTGTACCAGGACAAGTGTTAATTGATATCATATGAGCTATACAATCAATTAATTAATATAAATCACACTTTTTAAATATATAATTTTATTTTATTATTATTATTATTATTATTTTTTTTTTTTTTTTTTTTTTTTTTTTAATAATATTCAAAATTCAAAATTCAAAAATCATTTATTCATGTAGGACATTTTAGCCGCTTATGAACGTAAAATTTTTACATTATAATTTTATATTTACCCTACCGTCCAGTTCGGTATATAGATCCAATTGAGAAGAACTGGCAAGAAACTCAATTGAATTACTTTTTTTTTTTTTTTTTTTTTTTTTTTTTAAGCCAGTTTATTTACAATAGTTAATGAATTTACAAAATAAGTATTACAAATTAATATATCACTATGTCTGTTCTCGATCTCTGTGTGTACATAAAAACTATTATGTTTATTTATTTATTATTTTTCTTCGTTACATATATACACGCGGATTAATTGTACCGCGGAATCGACCTTCTTCTCCTCAAGAGACGCGCACTGCGTATTTCAGATCAGTATTGCGGCCCTAAAAAGGGCCTTTTTATTCTTATTCTTATTTTTTTTTTTCTCATTCACGTCACATCACATCACACCACACCACACCACACACATAAGACACACCGCGACGACGACGTAAGGACTCGACCGGCGAGCGCGCGCCGCGCAGGTGTGCTAGTCGGAGTGCGAGTGTGAATGTGAATGTGAATGTGAATGAATGCGAGCGCAAACGAGAAGCGAGACCTCTTAAGCTTTCTTCTCGGTCTTCTTGGGCAAGAGCACCGCCTGTATGTTAGGGAGGACGCCACCCTGAGCGATGGTGACACCGGAGAGCAGCTTGTTCAACTCCTCGTCGTTCCTTATGGCGAGCTGCAGGTGTCTCGGTATGATCCTGGTCTTCTTGTTGTCCCTAGCGGCGTTGCCGGCCAACTCTAGCACCTCGGCGGCGAGGTACTCCATGACGGCCGCCAGGTAGACCGGAGCGCCGGCACCGACGCGCTCCGCGTAGTTGCCCTTGCGCAGCAGCCTATGGATACGGCCCACCGGGAACTGAAGACCGGCGCGATTGGATCGCGACTTCGCCTTCCCCTTGACTTTGCCGCCTTTGCCGCGTCCGGACATATTGTGTGTCGTGTGTCTTGTAAATAAATATATAACACAGAGGAATAGGACAAACGTTTCGCGACCAGCGGGAAACGTTCGAGCGATACGACAAAATGTAAGTAATGAACGAATCCTTTTTTTTTTTTTTTTTTTTTTTTTTTTTCTGAATGTGTTTGCTGTTGGCCGTGTGTGGCCTTTACAGCTTCACCGGACGCGAATGCAGGGGCGAGTGCTGATGGCACTCCAAGCCCGCGAGAGGGGAGCGACAATACGTCAGTTCTTTCTTATGGATTGCGGCGTGCACCTAAGGGCGCTAGAGTGGCTCGAACCTCGGCTTAGGCCACCGCACTTCGACCCCCGTCGAGGGACGGCGAAGGGTCGGTACGTCGGGGTGGGTGAGATTGCGACGCGGTTGTTATGCGCTCGGGCGCAAACCTGATCGCGCGCGGACCGTGTGTCGCGAGGGTTCTTCGCCCCCGCCGGCGGGGGCGGTGTGTGCGATGTGTGGGTGTGTTTGTAGGGGCTCTTGTCGAGGGTTCCGCGGTAGGTAGGGAGGGAGACGCGTTTGCCGTCGTAGTTGGATCATCGGGGTCCAAGAGTGCGTGCCTCGGGCGACGACGTTTTGGAGCGACGTTCTCTATGGGGGGTTTGTATTTGACCGCTCTTACTATGAGCGGATTTGAATGGGAATCGGCTGAGGCGAAGTAGCGTCGAGACGCTTGCTTCATAAATTGCCTTATAGTGGGTATTTTGAGGTCGCGGTGTAGATCCACGTTGCGCACGTACCACGGGGCGCCCGTGGCCCGTCGCAGAAATTTATTTTGCACCACCTGAAGGGGGTGAAGTAATGAAGGAAGGGCGTGGGCGAAGACGACACTAGCGTACGTCATCACCGGTCTTATACATGCTTTATAGAGCGTCAGCTTTGCGTTAAGCGACAATTGGCTGCGCTTGTTAATAAAGGGATGGAGGCGTCCCAGTATAAAATTGGCCAGGCCTCGGACGCGCTTAAGATGAGATGCGAAACTCAACTTGGAATCGAGTGTCACGCCTAGGTATTTGGCTTCGTTCGTCCAGGGGACGGGCGTGCCAAACAGCTGAATAGAGGCGGGAAGGGATGGTTTTCTTTTGGCCGTGAAAAGCACGGCGGCGCTTTTATCTGGGTTGACTTCGATGCGCCATTTTCTGAAACAGTAGGCCAGCTCGTCCACCGCCCGTTGAAGCCTGTTGGCTGCACAGGCGGCCGACGTGCTGTCCACATATAGGGCTGTATCATCAGCAAAGAGGGCGATTTGCACTCGGGCTGACGCGGGATGTCGTTGGTGTACAACGAGAAGAGGGTGGGGAGAGGACAGCGCCCTGCGGGACGCCGGCTCTAATCGGTCGTGCGCTGGAACGCACTCCATTGACGCGATAGCGATATGACCTATTGGACAAAAAGGCTCGTATGATGTGCACGAGCCTGTCCGGCACTCCCATCTTGTGCAGCTTGAAAATCAAGCCGCTGTGCCAGACTTTGTCGAAGGCCTTCGCCACGTCGAGAAACAGGACACATGTGACCCCTTTGGGATTTCAGGTGTCGGGCGTTGAGGATGTTCTACTACACGATGTACTTGATGAACAGCTGAGTGCTTGGCTCTGAAGCCGAACTGTTCATCGATCAGGATGCCTCGGACTGTAGCCAGTCTTTCAGGCGTGCGAGTATTAGCTCTCATACAGCTTCCCCAGCGAGCTGAGGAGACTGATGGGGCGAAAGCTGGTGGGAAGGGACTTATCTTTCCCAGGTTTGGGAAAGCCTATCGACATCGGCCTCTTTCCAAGCATCTGGAAAGATGGCATTGGTAAGGGCCGCATTGAAAATCGCTACTAGAAGTAGCAGAATGCGTTTCTGGCAGACTCTTAAGGAGTCTGTTAGTGATACCGTCGGCACCGGGTGCCTTCGGTCGGGGTTCCTTTGATGAGTTTCGCACCTCATCCAGTGTAACGGGGGGAGAGACGTAGTGGGAGGGATCGACAGGATCCGCTCCACCTCGGATTCTACCTTCTCTAGTGATGATCATCGGGCACCGGAAGGGTGCTCGGGATGCATTGGGCTTCGAGGCTGTCGGCTAAGCATTCAGCCTTTGTCTTCATCGAAAAGGCCGGACTGTTGTTTGTTCGGACCAGTGGCGGTAGGTCGGAGTAGTCTTGGTCTGTTTTGAGAGATTTGGCTACTCGCCAGTACGCGGTGTGGCTGGGGGTGAGTTCTTTAGTGAACTTATCCCATCTGTCTCGCCGAAGTTCCGCTATGCGACTCTTTACTTCGCGCTGTAAAGCTCGCAGGCGGGTTCGGTTTTCTCTGAGGGATAGCGATCATAATATCGCGTGGCTGCATTCTTCGCGCGCAGCAGAGCCCTTACGTCATCAGGCAGGTTCCATCTACGGTCGCCCGTGTCCGGAACCTCCCTGGAGCAGTCCTTGACTGCCGACTGCAGGTGCTCTGTGAGCGCGTCAATGGCTGTTAGTCGTCTCCTCGATAGTTCGATATGTCGGGGATGCGGTCCAGTGCCGGAGTGTAGTCGACTCGAGGACTTTCTCGAGCCGGCTCCAGTCTGTGACCGTTTTGAGTTGAGGCGCCCCGTCTGCTGGTGGGCCTAGCTAGAATGTGACGGGGCGGTGGTCGGAGATGTCAATTCGGCATGGACCTCCATAGAACTCAGCCTTAAGGCTACGTTCTTTAGTAGGGCCAGGTCGAGAATGCAGGGCTGGTGCCGAGGGTTTGCTGGATAGTGCGTCGGATGCACTGGGGGAAGGATGTCGAAACCCATGGAGAGCGAGGCGTTCCAGGGTGAGACCGTTTCGTGTTGGGATAAGCACAGCTCCAAAGTGTGTGCTTGCTGTTGAGATCTCCGGCTATATTACCGAATCCCCCAGGTCCATGAGAGCTTGGAGGTCGGCGCGGAGGAGCTTTTTGGAGGGAGAGAGATATGCCGATGCTATATAGATCGGTCGGTGGTCTGTCATCGCTAGGAGGCATACCGAGGCTTCGATGTTTTCGAGCGGAGGCGTGTCGATCGGGATGCATTGAAGGGACCTTCGGTAATAGATTAACGTTCCGCCGTCCCGGACTGACGCGGTCATCTGCGTACGATATTGTAATTGGCGATCCTGGGATCGCGTGTTGAAGGCTTGAGGAAGGTCTCCTGTAGTAGGAGAACGTCCACCTGATGGACGGTGAGAAACTCACGGACTTCGTCTTTTTGATGTTTGTAGTCCGTTAGCGTTGAAAAACGCCAACTTAACGGACCGAGGGTTTGCATCTTTTCGCCCTTAGATCCATAATTAATTGTTAAAATTGAGGATGGCGACTAGTACGCCGATATGCTCGCAGACGGCTGCGAGTCTTCCTTGTGGGTCGTTGACTGTCCTCAGTTTGGAGGCCAGTGTGCCGTAATTTCGCCAGCGTCGATGGAGCTGGCGAGTTTCGCTACAGTGCGAAGTCGGCTGCGAAGCTTGAGCCTACGTTCGTTTTTTGTGGGGCGGGGCGCGGAGGAGCGGGCGAGAGGCCACTATCTTGGCAAGCGTGGAGCGTTGCAGATGAGCATGGGGGTGAGGGGGTCGCTTTGACGACCGGAGGTCGCACCCAAGCATTTTTTGGCGGGGGAGGTGGCGCAGCTGGGGCTGCGGGATACGGGGGCGCGGGGCGTATATATACTGATATATATATATTTGTGGCTTGAGCGGAGGCCTTGTGCTGGCTTGGACGAGGGAGCGCGGGGACATCCGCGATAATTGGCCGTGTGGCCCTGTGTGCCGCAGAGTACACAGCTCGGTGGGGTGGGGTGCCACTCACGCGGGTGCATTGCTTGGTGCCGTGGTCTCCCAGGCACTTGACGCAACGTCGCGCGCGTAGCAGTTTCGGGCGGAGTGCCCATAATTTTGGCAGCGATGGCACTGCCCGGGGTAGGACCGCTTGTTTGGCGGTTCGACTGATAGGCCTGAGATTCAGGCAGACACTGTTGGATGTTGAAGATGGTTTTCCCCTCTGGGGAGAGATCTAGGACCACCAGTACCATGTCGAGAGGGCCGTTTTGGCCCTAGCTGCGGTACATCCTGTGTAACTCGTGGACGGGGTAGTTTTGTGAGCGGATATCTGCGAGGATGTCCTGGCAGTCCAGCTCCGGGGGACGCCGCGTATCACTACGCGCAGTCGTTTCTCCTCCTCGAGGGCATAAGTGTGGTAACCCACACTGTTTGCCCTGAGGAAGGAAGTTAGCTGGCGATGATCCGCCGATGTGGGAACCACTACTCTGATTCCTAGTGAGGTTACCCTCGCATGGGTAAAGGATATGCGCCTTTCCTTCAGCGCAGCTGACACCCTGTTCCAGGCTGTCTTGTCCTGGATGATAATTGAGGGGAGGTTCACTTGTCTCCCGCGTGATCGCGGGTCGGTTTTATCGGCGTTAGCCGGAACGGGTGCGCCATAGTTGGCACGTTGGGTTTTTTGCGGGGGAAGATCGCGCGCCCGCTTAGTGCGTTTGGTGCGCTTGGCACCACTAATACGAAAGTCGTCCTCCGACGACGAGGGAAGGCGAATCGTCCGGAGGAGTCGCCTGTCCATCGGGGAAGCGACGACGTTGGGAGCTCTAGCGCTCCATTATCCGTTTCAGGCGATGGAGGGGCGCTTGGGAGCAACCTGAGTGGCGGACGCCGGCGGCTCCGGGACTCGTACTGCACTAGGGGGTCCCCGGGGAAGGAAGGCCTTGATGAGGACGAACTTCGTCCTCTATAAAGGCGAAGAACCCTTCCTGCGTCAGCGTCATGCTGGCACAGTGCCCCCAATGGAATCGAAAAATTATTTAAGAGATTATCACCCGGAGTCGGGTGTTAGTGGCGTTAACAATTTTAATTTAAAAAGTTACGAAATTAATAAAAATTTAACTACTAATAGCGACATGTAGTCCCGAGATGGCGGGGAAACCGCTCCTCGACTTTGTTTATCAATGCCGCGACTGTGTAAGTCGGTTTTTAAATATAAAAATAATTTAATTTTATTATACGGACAATGCGATACCGGGTGTCGATATATGCCTGCGATGGCAATTATATGTAGCGGCGCTAGTGGCACAAAAAATAAGCCGCGTACAGCCGCC